TAATAGATTATAATATGTGAATATAAATATATTTTATTATTATTAAAATAAATCGAAGATCTCTAGAGTTTAATATAGTAACCTTCGCTTTGGAGTTTTTTAATGACGACGGAGGTCCTCCAGAGGTCCTCTGGAGGTCTACGCCCGAAGATCTTCGGAGATCTTTGCTAAAAAATTTTCTGATGTAGTATGTTTCTTTAGTTTTTTTAAAATTCTTGTAGTAAAGATAAAAGAAATATAGAGGACTTTTAGGTATTGAAAGATAAAAAAAATATTTGTTTATTTAATTTTGAAAAGAAATTACTATAAAAGGAAATTTTTAAGAAAAATGTTATGTACAGAAAAGAGTTTTTTTAATATTAAAAAAATTTTTAATTAAATAATAAATCTAAATTATAAAAAAAAAAAAAGATAAATTAAATTTTAAAAGTATTAGTATAATTTAAAAAAGAAAAAAAAAATCATCAATTCTAATAACTTATAAATAAAAAAAATTGAAATAATATTATTAAGACAATTAAGCTTTATAATCAATATTAATATTTTTATTAATATTTTTATAAAAATTTTATAGAATAAAATTAAAAAAAATATTAAATAATTAGGAATATAAAATAATTAAAATTTTGTTAATATAAATTATAACAATAGATTATAAGCAATAAACTTAAATCTTTTAAAAAATGAAAGTAATAAAAAACAATTTTATTTATTTTTAAAATTATATTTAAAAATTGTAAATCAAGATAAATATTTAAATATTAATTTAATTTATAAATATAAATTTTGTATTATTATGTTTTTAATTTAAATAATTGAATAAATACAATAAATACTTATTTGATTATAAAAAAAAAAAAATAAATATAAAATAAATATAAAATTTTAAATAAGATTTTAAATAATTTTATAAATTTAATAAAAAATATAAAATAATAATTAAAAAAAAAAACAATAATTAATTATTAATTTTATCTTAATAAAATCTTTAGATTTCAATTTTATTTTGTTATATTTTGTTATTAATTTCTATACAATAGTTTTTAAATAATAAATAATTAAAAGCTAGCATTTAACTCATGTATTACTACACATAAGAGATGTTGTTTCTTTCACAATGTTATGGTTCTAAAAATTGAAATTGAACAGAATTGCAAGGAATTGTATAAGGTTTAAAATACTATTAAAAATAATAATAGGCTATATTTTACCTATTAAATTTAATATAAACTTGAGAATCAAACACAAAATCAAAAAGAATCATTAGGATCCTTACACAATGTATACTCAATTATATACAAATTAAATAAAAAAATAATGTTTATCTACTAAAAATAAAAATAATAAATAATTAAAAAAAATTAAAAAGTATTATTATATATTATATATTAAAATTTTTTTTGATTTTAATTAATTGATATAAAAATTTTATTTAATTTATTAAATAAAATTTAATCTTTTAAAGATTTTTAATCTAATATTAACTTGTTATAAAACTTTTTGAAAGTATTTTTTTCTAAAAAAATCAAAAAATCAAAAATCAAAATATAATTTTTCAAATACGATATTGCCTGGTGGAGCAAGTTATATGTGACATCACAGACATATTATTGGCTGGCGGACTTTAATTGTATTTTATTGGTCAATTCTAGACTCAGATTCCAAATATGGCAGAACCAACGATGACGTTTTAATGAATATCTGACCTTATGCCCGTTTTTTGTTATATAAATCTCTTTTCCGAAATTTTGATGAAAAACCTTCGATAGCTAGAGCAGCTTTGCTGTTCCTCTGATTAATATAAGAAACAAAATTTTATCCTCGTCGGCATTTTTCCTGAGCGCTGATAACGATTTGAATCAAGACTGCCACGTTGTCCTTTTTATACCGCAACAATATTTACAGATATGTCGGGCTCAGAATACTCCAACCCTGATATCTTTGCGAATAGGCTGACAGATCCCAAAATATGTATATTCTTGAGAAATATTTTCTTGAGGTGGTTTAAATGCATAGGATCTATGGACAGAAGTATTTTTAACCATATTGGACATGTTTTTAAATAGCATTTAAAACGAAGTCTACCATTGCGACAAATTTGAGGGATTCGGTCGAAATATTCCAAAATGCAGATTATAACCGTTTTCTTCAAGTTATGATGCCTGTGCTAACCAAAATCTTGAAGGATGAGCCCCCTGTGTTCGATAGCAATTCCGAAGAACAGGTAGATGTTATTTAGATAATGTATTAGTATATCGATATTATTTCAAACTTTACGCTATTTACGTAAATATTTTCTTTAATAGAAACTTCGTAATCTTCTTTTGGAAGTGCTGCATCGATTACCTCCAAACGACTCGCTTTTACCATACGCCGTTGACTTGTTAAACCTATTAATGGATTTACTTAAAAGGGAAAATGAAGATAACGCGGTTATCTGTTTGAAGATTATTATTGAATTACACCGAAGTTATAAGAATCCGCTTAAAGATCAAGTTCAACCATTCTTGAACATTGTTCAAGAAATGTATAGAAACTTAGAACAAACTGTCAAAGATGCTTTTGATTCACAAACCGCTTCCACACCAAGCGCCAGCACCGTAAGAAAATTTAAAATTCTATTCTACTTTATAAAAAGCGCGTACAAGATCACGTGACCTTAAATTATCGCGTCCTTGCGTATCATTTAGCCAATTCAGCCAATAGTTCTCGTACCTCCTTCCCCACGCCCATCATCTCCTGTATCAGACGTCACAACGAATGAAGTTATTCCCAATAAAGTCTTGGCTAGAAGCATGCATAGTTTTAAAGTCTTGGCTGAATGCCCTATTATTGTAGTCTTACTCTTCTCATCCCACCGTAACTCTGTGAATACAAACATCGAAAATTTTATCCCACTTGTTATACAGGTTTGCTATTTATTCGCGTTTGATGTAATCTCTATTTAAAAAAGTGATTTACAGGCAAACTCCTTTTGTAATAGGCACTCGGATTACAAGCTCGCCCACAAGCCGATGCACATGAAGCTGCTAAGGCAAAGGGTGAAGAATTTATTGGGGTGGCACCGGGTATTCGAGACCGTGCAAAGTACACAGAATTTATCATAGCACAAGTAAAAGTTAGTAATAAAGTTTTGTGTTTCAAATAGATTTCTACGTGTTTTCGCACGTTTTTATATTTCAGTTACCTTGTTTTATAGACAACATCTTTTCTGGCATATATACTGCGAGTCTATACCCAGGCATTACTAGAGTATAAAGAAATGATTCCGGAGTTTGTTATAAGACTACTCCAAGACTGTCCACCCGAAGCTTCAGCTACCAGAAAGGTAATGCTAGGTGAAATATATAATCTTTTAGTTTTACATAAATTTAGATTCAACACTTACAGTTGTCTTGCGACTCATTCACTAAATGTCAATTTTCACTGTGTGCTTTAGGAATTGCTGGTTGCAACAAGGCATATTCTTTCGACTGATTTTCGAACAGCTTTTGTTAGCAAAATTGACATACTTCTCAACGAGAGGATTTTGATTGGCAGCGGAGTTACATCTCATGACACCCTTAGGTATTTTATTATTTTATTATTTTGGTTTTGTTTGTGATTTTTTTCGTGACTTTTCGACTAAAAATTATTTTATTTAGGCCATTAGCATACAGTATGCTTGCTGACCTTGCTCATCATGTGCGAAATGAGCTTTCACCATCACAGTTATCAAAGACTGTATACATATATTCGCGTAATTTACATGATCCATCATTAGCTGCTAACATTCAAACAATGTGTTCCAAGCTCCTTCTAAATTTAACCGAATGCATCATGAAGATTCCAAAAACAGACGAAGAAAATCAAGGTTAGTAAATCCTTATAATATATATATATATGTTACCCTATGGAATGCAGTTAAAATTTATTTAATATTTTTATATTCATATTTGATGAATCTTTATAGCACGTGATTTGCTGATCAGGATTTTGGATACCTTCGCCAACAAATTTATGTCTTTGAATTTGGTCTTTTCTGACATTCAACGTCAGCAACAGAAAAAGAAAAATAACGCTATGACTGATGCAGATGATGAAGGGCTAATGAATGATTTTGATTTCGAACAAGCACGCCCAATACATACTTCTACGCCTAACGAATTGCAGAATGATGCTATCAATGGCATGTTTACTATCCAAGTGTTATTTTGAATTTACCTTGTACGTATTTCAAATTACTCATACTATATTTTGATCTTTTAATAACGTTTAGATGGAAGATTTTTATTCAGAAATCTTGTCGCTGGATTGAAACCTATTATTCAGGGGCTGAAGCAGTGTAATCCACCTCCACCTAAAGGGTCTACCAATGTTCAACTTTATAATTCAGTTGCTCGTGGATTCACACAGGAGCAGATAGATATATTTATTCGGTTGTTCAGAGAAGGAGCACGCTGTTTTGATTATTTTAATATCGATAATGTAGATCCACAAATTAAATTTTCGGATAAGCTAATGTCGATAGAGCTGCCAAGCAGAATTGGTCCGTATTCAAAAGTTGAAAAAGAGTTACTCGAACATTTTGGGTTAGCTTTTGTGATGTTGGACCCAGCAATATTTCAGGAGATTTTTGCATCGCAAATGAACTTCTTTTTCGATCAAATGCTTCAAAATACCTCTTTGCTTCAAATTCCTCAATATTTTCTTTCACATAGTGATGTAATATCACAAAGTTTTGCCGGAATTTTACTTCGGTTCCTGGTTGATAGATTGGAAAATCTTGGAGGCTCCGATCCTTTGTACACCACAGTAATGCTTCGATTATTTAAATTGACATTCATGGCAGTCACTTTATTTCCAAATCACAACGAGATCGTTCTTCATCCACATCTGGCCAATATTATCACCTCTTCAATGAAGCTTTCCGCCAAAGCTAAAGAACCAATCAATTATTTCTTACTCCTTAGAGCACTTTTCCGAAGTATAGGAGGTGGAAGATTCGAGATGCTGTATAAAGAAGTTTTGCCGCTATTACAAGTACTTTTGGAAGGATTAAATTCTCTTTTATCATTGACGCACAAGCAACGTATGCGGGATTTATTTGTTGAACTTTGTCTCACAGTTCCTGTGAGACTTAGCGTTCTTCTTCCCTATCTCAGTTACTTAATGAAGCCACTCGTTTTGGCCTTACAAGCTGGCCCGGAGTTAGTGACTCAAGGCCTTCGGACTCTGGAGCTCTGTATCGATAACTTGACTCCTGAATTTTTGGATCCTATCTTGGCTCCTGTTATTAATGATCTGATGCTTGCTCTTTGGAAACATCTTAAACCGAATCCATATAATGCGGTTCACAGTCATGCTGCTACGCGAATTTTAGGTAAACTCGGAGGGCGTAATCGCAGAATGCTTAAGGAGCCACCCCTACTTGATAACCGTTTTCCACCGCTGACAGGAATTGATCTACAAGTAAATTTTGAACAGCAATCTTTATTGCATTCGGTAAATTTAGACGAAGGGTTGGCACTTGCAACGAGGACTTTACAAGATCCTAGTTCCACTACTTTCTATAGAAAACAAGCATACAAATTTTTAGTTGCTACCGTGCCTTTATTAATCGATTTAGAAGAGGGTCCTGAAAACCTGGCTGTTACGATTTCATCAAGAGTTCAGCAACTTTTACAAAACTATAACGCGGACAGTATGGAATGTACGAATGCTACATCGGCTGATTCTGTCGAAAATATAAATAGCGATGTTCCTTTTGTCACGAATGAAATGAAAGAACTTTCAATAAATAGCAAAATGACTAAAGAAGGTCACAAGCAAGTTCTAAGAAGAAGATCTTTTCAAGAAGAGTCATTGCTAAGCGTCTTATGTTCGCTTTTTATTGCATCATCGTTACCTGAGCTCAAAGAACAAGCTTGGCCATTTCTACAAAATCTATGTCGACATTTTGCATTATTGGAAGTAGGGGAAGCCTTTGATTGCCGTTCTGCAAGAGAAAAAAAGTTTAATTTTCATAATTACGAGAAGAGATATTTTTTGGAAACAAAGGTAATGGTGGAAGCTCTAGTGGAGACCATAACATCAGAAAATCCGAAGCTTCGAAATCTAGCCAAATCTGCGTTGATGTTAATGCATGAGACCTGCGTGTCGATTACTGGATCGAAAGACTTGCTTTTTTTTTTTCCTTTATTCCATGTTTTAGCATCCCGATTCTGTTCCTGTTGTTACAAACAGGAATGGTACCGTAAAAGTGGAGGTTGCTTGGGCATTTCAATACTTTGTTCGCAAATCGAAATGGGAATGAATTGGATGTTAAATCACGAACTGGAATTTGTTAAATCGTTACTATTTATTCTGAAAGATATGTCACCCGAGTTTGCCGCTGGATATGTAGATAATGCTTCCGAGACTTTATTACACGTTCTTGAAATCTGCAATCGACAAGAGAATGGAATGGTTGACGATAAAGAATTACAAGATAGACAAAACAAATTTGACAAGTTAGTTACCTTGTTGACCTCTGAGCTTTCAAATGCTAATGCTGCTGTCAGAGAAACTGTGCAGGAGTCATTTCAGATCCTTGCTAAGCTTACCGGAAACAATGTTACATCTTTACTTTCCAATGTTCGAGATACCTTGCTTAATCCAATTTTTGGAAAACCCATCCGTGCTCTTCCAATTGCGATGCAGATTGGTTACATTGATGCGATAACATATTGTTTGACATTACAACCTCCTCTTTTGGATTTTAACGATAACGAAGAACTGTCCAAAATTTTAAATGACGCTTTACAATTAGCTGATGTCGATGATCAATCTATGACAGGGCGGTCAAACCAGTATAAAGCTTATACGGCTGGCATCAACCTTCGGATTGTCTGTATCAAATTCTTATCTGCTTCGATGGCTCGCTCAGAATCTTTTCCACCAAATACAGCCATTAATACTCGAGCACACATTATAGGTGTTTTCTTTAAATCTTTATACTCGAGAGCTCCGGAGATTGTTGAGGTAGCTAACAAAGGGCTTCAGCAAGTCCTTCAACAGCAGCATAAATTGCCCAAAGATCTTTTGCAAGCTGGATTACGTCCTATTTTAGTTAACCTATCGGATCATAAAAAGTTAACTGTACAAGGACTTGAAGGTCTAGCAAGACTTTTAGAGCTGCTCACAAACTATTTCAAAGTGGAGATAGGAAAAAAACTACTCGACCATTTGCGTCAATGGGCGGAGCCATCTGTTCTTCAGGAGGCTGCCGGGAAACCCATTGAGATAGAACCCATAAAAATAATAGTGTCTATTTTAAACGTATTCCATCTTTTACCTTCAGCTGCCAACATATTTTTGGATGATTTGGTTCTTATCGTATTGGACCTGGAAGATAAAATACGTCGTTCCTTGTCAAGTCCTTTCCGCCTTCCACTAATTAAATTTTTGAATAGATATTCTACTGAGGCAGTTGAATATTTTTATGGAAAATTGGGCAATAGTGAGTTCAGTCGATTATTTGTGAGTATTTTGGGGACAGAGGAGGCCATTAAGCTTCGACAAGAGATAATGACCTATCCCATGACACTTATTGAAAAAACTTCAAATATCCAAGGTTCCGAGAACCTTGAAGAAATCCAATTTCAAAGGATTGTGATTATTCGTGAGATTATAAAGTTTCATCCTGATTGGTGGACGGAGCCCACTTCCAGGCCCATTTTGGATTGCCTAAAGAGATCATGGAGTGATGAAGGTCGTATTGAACGAATGAAACATGAGAGTACTCTGAGTCTGTCTCAATGCCGTGAATCCAAATATTTAATTGAGATATTTATTAGTTATTTGAAAAAAAATCCCGAAGATATTGAGTTGCTTTTTGAATTGGTCACTATTTTCTCCCAAGAGAGCGTGATTGATTATACTTTTTTGAAAAAGTTCTACCAGGAAGAAGTGGCAATGAAATACACAGTGGAACAGAAAAGGGCTATTCTCAACAGATTTTTAGATAGCTTCGAAGATACAGATATTTCCTCTAGCGTCAAAATGCAATCTTTAAAGGTTATTGTTATTCCGATGCTTTTGTCAACCTTTTCCAGAGGGCAGGAATATGATCAAATCATAGGAAATGTTCAGATGGATAAGATTCAAAACATCTGGCATTATTTGGCTGAAACTCATGAGATTGAGGATTCTTTGCGCATAGAGATACTCCAGTTCTCAACCCTTCTCGTGCAACGAGTACCACACCTCATTACCACTCGAGGTAATCTTGCAAAACTTGGTTGGAATTGGTCTAGAGTGGATGACATAACCGCAAAACAAGCAGCATTCGTATTCTTGGCTCAAATAATTGCTGAATTTGAATCTTTCAAGTCAAAAATTTTATTTCAATCATATGTCGCTCTTTTACGAGCTCATCAATTAGAGGCAAGAACATTAGTAAGACAAGCATTAGACATCCTCGCTCCGGTGATTCAGAAGGTTAGGATTCTCACACATAATCCACCGAAAGATTATGCTGACGATTCAAAAAAAGATTCCAAGAATAAAAAAGCCCCACCACCAGCGTGGATTCATTATACAAAAAAAGTTTTATTAGAAGATGGTCACAGTGTTTCGCAATTGATTAATGTATATCAATTGTTAGTTCGTCATCCCGACCTATCTTATGATCATAGGGAACATTTCATGCCACATATTGCGAACACCTTGACAAAACTAGGATTATTTCAAAATGCCACGCCAGAAACCCGACTTTTGACTATAGATCTTTCGGAATTAATATTGAAATGGGAGAAACGTCGGACATCGGACAATCGGGTTCCGGATTACATGAGCAGCGCAAACTCAACACCCGCCGCTACTCCAGATAAAAGAAGGTTTGAGTTGGATCCAGAGAATTCTCCTAGAAAAAGACAATTAATTGAACACGGTGGTGAATTAAGAGGTATTACAGTCTCAGATCATAACCCGAAATACGTTCCTAATACAGGCTTAAGGGAAAATGTGGTCAGTTACCTTATCAAATTTGTGTGCACTTCCAATGAATCTGTCAGCAAGGGTGTATTGACGCGTAGAGCCCTGGAACTTATCAAAGAGTTTTTGCAGCCGGAATTTTGGCCAGAGATTAGCGTGAAGTTGAATGTATTTGACCGAACACTGAAGGACGCGGAAATTCAGAACCCACCTGATAACACATGTAATAGCTTAGAGGTGCTTAACATAATTCTGGAGAGGAAGTCGACTGATTGGTGTCTTGCTAACATTGTTCACCTACAGCAATTGTTAAAACATAGTATCACGTCCACACACGTCAAGATACAAAAGTGTCTCTATCCTGTCCTAGTTCACATTTTTAGGGCGTTAGCCTCGTTAACGCCGCTTGTCGATGAGAATACATCCCTGAACTTAGATCAACAACAACAACAGCAACAGCAACCTCCACCCGATTCAGAATCAGAAGTTTTCATCAAAATGATAAATGCTACGATTCAAGAAGGACTTCAAACTGGAAATAATTTATATAGCATAATGATGCTCTCAAAAGCTATGGCAAGTTCAATTCCAAAGAACATTGATCCGTTTATGGCGGAGGTCATTTTGGTAGTGCAGAAACTTACGAAAGATGTCATAAACTTAAATCAAAACGCTCCTTCAAATGCTACCATTACTTCTAGCAACGCTCAACAACCCGATTCTCCAATCAGCGTTCTTGTTATGGCGTTGCAAATTATAGACTCACGTATTTCCGACTTGAACGAACCGAGACCGATTTTTCTCGCGTGCCTCGCCCAACTTGTGGAAAAGACAAAAGATAATGAGCTTTTACGAACTATTTTCGGCATGGTAAAACAATGG